TTTCCCCCATTTAAAAAATTTGGCCAGGCTCGGTGGCTCATGCTTGTAATCCCAGCTACTCAGAAGGCTGAGGCAGAAGAATTGCTTGAACCCAGAGGGTGGAGGTTGCAGTGAGCCAAGATCATGCCATTGCACTCCAGCCTAGGCGACAAGAGCAAGACTCCATCTCGAGAAAAAAAAATTTTTTTTAAGTTAGTTTTACCCATACCCACTCAGGAAGCTCATATATTCTGTAATGCAAGCATCTACATCTACCACAGATTCTCAGGTTTTAATAGACCCTCAAAGGCCAGCACAGTGGCTTATACCTGTAATCCCAGTACCAAGGCAAATCATTAGGTCAAGAGATCAAGACCATCCTGGCCAGGCATGGTGAAACCCTGTCTCTACTAAAAATACAAAAATTAGCTGTGCATGGTGGCATGCACGTGTAGTCCCAGCTACTCAAGAGACTGAGACAGGAGAATCACTTGAACTTAGGAGGTGGAGGTTGCAGTGAGCCGAGATCATGCCACTGCACTCCAGCCTGGCAACAGAGCGAGACAGTCTCCAAAAAAAAAAAAAAAAAGAGAGAGAGACCTTCAAGGGCATTTAGTTCAACAGACAAATAAAATCTGAATTCTTTAAAGCATCCATCCTAATAGCAAACACAAGGTATTACTATGAGGTGTGCATTACTCTATATTAAATAACTTCAAGCATCACGACAATCCTATAAAGATGGTTAATATTATCCCCATTTTACAGACAAGGAGGCCAAGACAGAGAGAGATTAAGCAATTTGTCCTAGGTTACGTGGTTCCTGCGTGGCAGTCTGGCTCCACCATCCATGCTCTTAATCATTATGTTATGCTGCCTTGCCCCGTCACCATACTGTGGAAGTCTCAGATTGGAAATCCCTTTTTAGTTAGTATATTGACCAAAAAACATAGACTAAAGCATTTGTGGCAACATGTTAACAAATGATATCTAGGCAAATGAAGGGATACTGGAGTGCTATAGCAACTTTCCCGCAAGTTCGAAATAAAAAGTTGAAAAGTGCTTTTGCCGTCACATCATGGGACAGGTTTTCTGAAAGTCATGACCAAATTACCTATTGCTGACCAGCAAAGAAGAAAATTCTCTGACTCCTTATAATGCCCCCAATATATGCCTGATCTAAGTTTGTTACACCAATCAAACCGAAGGGCCCGCTGGAGACAAAGTGACCCTAAAAACAGGGAACACTATCCCTGAATAGAATGATAAATTCAGGCCCCATTCTCAGTGCTTAATATTTAATAATCAATAACATGCAATTCCAAGTAGAATTAGGGAAAAAAATTTCTTCCGAAAAATACATTAAACAATTAAATACAAGTCAATCCATACCTCAATTTCCCCTTATTAGTTCTAATGAGAACAGTTTTTTCTCACCTTCTTACAACCTCCCTGTCAGGCTACATCAATGCTCTACTGGAAACCTTGGAGGCAGCTGCATAGTTTAGGCAGAACAATCCCTATTCATCCTTATTACCTATAGTTCACTCCTTCAGGCAAGTACCTTGTTAATATCTTTTAAATTGCCCAAGAAGCCTGGGTGCAGTGGCTCACACCTATAATCTCAACACTTCCGGAGGCCCAGGCCAGAAATCACCTGGCCTCGAGAGTTTGAGGCCAGCAAATCACCTGAGGTCGAGAGTTTGAGACCAGCCTTACCAACATGAAGAACCCCATCTCTACTAAAAATACAAAATTAGCCAGGCATAATGGCACATGCCTGTAATCCTGGCTACTCGGGAGGCTGAGGCAGGAGAATTGCTTGAACCCAGGAGGCAGAGGTTGCGGTGAGCCAAGATCACGGCATTGTACTTCAGCCTGGGCAATGAGAGCAAAACTGTATCTCAAAAAACGAATTCCCCAAGAAAACGGATTTCTGTTCTTGAACTCATAAGCTTCCCAATACATGAACAAAATCTAAAGTTCTGTGGCTGAAGCAGTGACTTCAAAACACTGATTCCAAACATACTTTCTTTGAAACACTGATATTCAAAATTATCATCCCAAGCTCTTAATGTTTTCATTTTTATTTTTATTTTGAGACAGAGTTTCCCTCTTGTTGCCCAGGCTGGAGTACAATGACGCGATCTTGGCTCACCACAACCTCTGCCTCCCGGGTTCACACGATTCTCTTGCCTCAGTCTCCAGAGTAGCTGGGACTACAGGCGGCCACCACCATGCCTGGACAATTTTTATATTTTTCGTAAAGATGGGGTTTCACTATGTTGGCCAGGCTGGTCTCGGGCTCCTGACCTTGTGATCCACCTGTCTCGGCCTCCCAAAGTGCTGGGATTACAGGTGTGAGCCACCATGCCCAACCCAACTTTTATTAACAAGCATAGAAACCACTCACCTCCAACTAGGGCTGAAAGCAGTACTTTCCTGCTGATGGCTTAATACACTGTGTCCCCTAAAAAATGGCTACATTTTAGGTGTTCAGTGGTTGAAATTCATAATGAAATGAATTGACTAGAATGCGTATGATTTTTTTTTTTTTTTTTTTGAGACAGGATCAGGCCAGGTGCGGTGGCTCACACCTGTAATCCCAGCACTTTGGAAGGCTGATCACCTGAGGTCAGGAATTCAAGAGGAGCCTGACCAACCTGGAGAAACCCAACTCAAAAAAAAAAAGGGACAGGATCTGGCTCTGCAGCCCAGTCTGTCAGGCCGCGGCGTGATCTCCGCTAGCTGTAACCTCTGTCTCCCAGGCTCAAGCTGTCCTCCCATCTCAGCCTCCCCAGTAGCTGGGACTACAGGCACAAGCCACTACGCCTGGCTAATTTTTGTACTTTTTTGTAAGACGAGGCTTCACCATGTTGCCCAGTGATCTGCCCACCTGGACCTCCCAAAACACTGGGATTACAGGCATGAGCCACCGCACCAGGCCCGATCCTTACCTTTTTTTTTTTTTTTTTTTGAGAAGGAGTTTCGCTCTTGTTACCCACGCTGGAGTGCAATGGCGCGATCTCGGCTCACCGCAACTTCCGCCTCCTGGGTTCAGGCAATTCTCCTGCCTCAGCCTCCTGAGTAGCTGGGATTATAGGCACGCACCAGCATGCCAGATAATTTTTTGTATTTTTAGTAGAGAAGGGGTTTCCTCATGTTGACCAGGATGGTCTCCATCTCTTGACCTCGTGATCCACCCGTCTCGGCCTCCCAAAGTGCTGGGATTACAAGCTTGAGCCACCGCGCCCGGCCAAGATCCTTACTTTTTATACTATTCTTTGTACAGCTTGCCAAGAAAGGAACAGGATTAAATAAAAGCTAAAATTTTAAATCCTCCATTATCTCCAGAAACTTTGCTGAAAAATGTGAAGGAGGGCCAGGCATGGTGGGCACACCTATAATCCCAGCATTTTGGGAGGCCAAGGTAGGAGGATGGCTTGAGCCCAGGAGCTTGAGACCAGCCTAGTCTATATAGAGAGACCCCACTGCCACAAAAATATACAAAATTTAGCCAGACATAGTGGTGGACACCGGTAGTCCTAGCTACTCAAAGACTGAGATGGGAGCATCACTTGAGCCCAGAAGTTTGAGGCTGCAAGTGAGCCATGATTTCACCACTGCATTCTAGCCTGGGTGACAAAGCAAGACCCTGTCTCAAAAAAGAAAAATAATTTAAGGGAGGAGATGTGTAAAAGGTTGGAACTATAGACTACAGTAAAAGTTGCAATAGTACGCTGCAATTTGATTAATCTATGTTGTTTTGCTTCCTTTCAAGCCTTCCCCACAAATCAGTCCCTTACTGATTCTCATCAAGTACCTTACTTAACCAAGGCTACTGACACCTCTGTATGTACCAGACACTAAGACAGGTGCTAAAAAGATAGAGATAAGACAGTACCTATACTCAAGCTGCTGCTCATAGTCTAGAGGGAAAAACAAGAATATCTGAACTACCTCCTACAAGCCTGTCCCTGCAAGTTGATATCATTCCAAACCACATTATCTAAAAATTCTCTGGAAGAAGAAATCTTGCTGATAATCAAACAATGTGTGACACAATTCCAGGAAGTTTAATAAATTAGGACAGCACTGGTGGGCATACAGAAAGATTCCCGTTCTAAAGATTAAAATAATATCCATTCTAGCACATCCACCTCCCCATGGGCTCTAAGGAAAATAGATCTTTTATATACATTATCCCTACAGGGGTGGTGGGGAGCTGGAGGGGGTTAGAAATTTAAGTGAGTACTGCCCCCGTGCCAAGATGAAGCACCACTCCTGCCTCCAGCAAGGGTTCATTTTAGTTCGAGCTGTTGTTTCCATTCTCTGTGGAGAATGGCAGTATATTAGTGGTTAAGTCCATGGACTTTGTAGTTTGTCAGACCAGGGTTAATTCTGGCCTCAACCATTTATAGGCAGTGAGATTTTCAGCAAACCTCAGCTTCTCTGAGGCTCAAATTCCTTAAAAACCAAACCAAACCAAAACAAAACAAAACAAAAAAACGGTCTGGGAAATTAATTAGCTTATGCAAAATGCTCAGTATACACTAAAATTAAAAAAAAACAAGATGCGAGAGAGGTAGCGGGCAATGAGGGCCTTGTCAGTTACTCACAGGGTACCAAGAGGTACCAAAATAGAAGGCGATAAATAATACAAAGGTAATCATTTTGTTATTCCAACTGATAGCGATCTATGCTTAATTTATTTGCATCCATCCTATCTCATCCATCCCAGAAGAGCAACTACTTCATAACCTAAGGCTGGACTGTAATTACTTGGTGCTTTTCTTTTTGTTAATACCTCCAATAGTCTCAATTTTACCCTAGCTGAGACAACATGTTGGAGCTTCTCTGACTGTCCATACTAGAACACTAGTACTCCAACCACCTAGAAGAGAACCGTCCCCCCACCCCCCAATCTGGAACACAGACCACTACCTTACTCACATAACAAAGAAACCAACCATATATAGGAGGCAAACAAGGAAAGAAGAATCTGAACAGCTCAAACTTACCTGCCATTATTTTTTACCCCAAAACGAAGAGCAAAACAAAAAAAAATTAAAAATAAAACATTTACTTATCTGTATTCCTTATTATAATTCCTGAAAGAACCAGTGGAGGTGAGGTAAAAGACAAATCTTCCATCTTACCACCCCAAAGGCTCTGTACTACACACCCGTCAAAACAACACCTTAGTTGTGGAAATCGTCCTGGACACTAGGTTAACTATGATGCTCACTTCAGCTACACAAAGCCCACTATTTAAAGCTGGACCCAAATCACCACCAGTCAGTCATCCAGAACCTATTTTCAAACTGCCTTTGTACTCCTCCTTTAGATTCCCTCATCCCTCCCCCTAAAGGTTGAGTGGGAAACAGACACTCTGGCAGCAACATGACCAACACTCTCAAGATCTAAGAAACCTCCCCAGGCTGAAATCAAAGCAGAGAGAACATTTGAAAGAAAATTTGAAAAATATTAAACAAGAACTACAGCCCAACAGAGTATACACATTGTATTTTTTTTCCTTCTTTTTAACTGTACTTGTTATAATTAAGAGATCCAGACATCAAAAATTTCCTGCAGACTTTGCCTAGATTATATTTAAAGGAGGAACAAAGTTCGGTTTCCTCCTGAAGCCACAACTTCACAAAGATGAAATCATCTTTCAAGAAATACTCTCATTCTAGAAAAGAAATTCTAGTCTTAAAAAAAAATTGGCGGGGCAGGGGGTGGGGGGGGCGTGCAAAATAGGATTATTAAAGACATACCAATTTAAAGCTAATGAGCAGCTTACACATTAAAGCCCATCTTGTTACAATTAGGACAGTAATCTATTCTAGCTATAATATAATTTTCAGGCTGATTCACATTTTCAAAAAGAGAATACCCTAGTTTTCAGCTACTGATGAGTTGGCTATATAATTAACTAGAATCAGTACTTTTGCAAGAATATATTTGCAAAAACAAACCAAATCTTAAGATTAAATATAAGATATGAAAGCACAGTCATGGGCCTTCAGCTCTAAGAGATTTCAGATTTCATGGTAAATTAACTAAACAATAAACTCAACTCCAAAAAACAACTTTCAGGTTGATTTAAAAATAAAAACTTCCCTTTTGTTTTCTGAAATGTATTTTAAACACTAAAGTTTGTATAAATGGTTTTTCTAAACCAAATCTTATTCCACCCATGGCCCTTTCAGGGTGCAAAAAGCTGTAAATATTTTCAGGTGTGTTGCCACTTTACTCAGGTGAAATAAAAAGCACGATTAGAATTTCCTTATTGCTTTAAGCAAATAAATCCAACATTATTGTATTTGCAGATTTAACAAAAACACCTCCACAAATCTTTGCTTTCAAAGGTAGTTTTAGGAGGAAGAAAGAGATGGCAATTCAGTTAACATTGCTCCATTTGTTTTCTTTTATAAGGCAAAGCAGGGAGACTACATCTAACTGGAGAATGAGGCTCCCACCCACCGCACCTGGAAAAGTAAGAGGGATCCACCCAGGAACAGAAGGGCTGAAACCGATATGGGCCGTTCAAACTCTATGGGGGAAAAACAATACCATTTATGCTGCAAACCTCCCTGCAACTTTCCACTTCCACAAATACAATGATAAAAGAAAAAAAAAGTTTGAAACATGTTAAGAATCATCTGTATAACTAGGTTCTGACACGGACAAATTCCTTTCCCAACCCACATGCAACATGCCAAAAAAACAACTTTTAATTTGGGCTCTGAAAACAGAAATACGTTAGCATAATCCAGAAAAAACAAACAAACAAAAAAAAAAAACCATAAAATCAAAGAACACACCAAAATAAAAATTTTCAAACGTGCTCTTACCCATCTGGATCTATTCAGCTTCCTGTATTAGACAAGTTTGTTTCTAGGTCTTGTATATAATAAAAAAAATTAATATAATACCAAAATATCCCCCCAAAGTATTGAAAGTAGAAAGAAAAATAGTAATTGCTTAAAAGTTACTCATCAGCATAACAGACTCTTTCCCGTTTTTTAATTCCCTCTGGTTACCGTAAGACAAAAATTCGACTTGCTTATCTTCCTTTTCCCATCAGTACATACATTTTCTTTAAAAGCCACACACCTCAAATGTGGAGTTCTAAAAACCAGTCCTTTAAGAAAGAAACCCAAGGCTTCGCCAATGTGCTGAGAAAGACAAATCCAGCAAGGCAGTTGCTTTTTCGCCACCTCTTCCTCCTTTCAGGATCTTTCCTGCTCTTCTTTCTCTCTCTGTCCCTCTCTCTCTCTCTTTTTTTTTTTCTCCCTCAGATCCAACACCTAAAATGGAAGTTGCACCCAGCCAAAGGCAAAGGAGCCTGGGTGGTGACAAACTGATCTGGCAACCCTACCCCCTTCGCTTTCCTAAGTGATGTCAGCCCCTGTGAGCTTCCAATAGGAGCCATGCATAAATCAGGGAGTTGACCTTATCCAATAGGAAACTTTATTATAGAAAATTAAAAAAAAAAAAAAAGAGGAGGAGAGAAAGACACGGGGAAGTTTATACATATATTTATATTTATATATTTATATTTAAAGTGGAGAGCCTGTACAATCTCTGAGGAATTACTGTAGAGCTGAGGGGGGCGGGGGAAGCAAGGGAGGCAAGGAACAAGGGCTTTTTAGAATGGCACGCCTAAGTCTCAGTTCTCTTTGATCGTGGGTTCTTGCTCCCTCTTCCGTACTGTCCCGGTGGGGAAACAGAAAAGAGCTGCTTTTACTTGACTGCTGCTGTTTGGTTTGTTGCTTTCTACCCCAAAGCATTTCCCTAAAGGAAGACGGGAAAGGAAGGAGAGAGAAATACTAGAAACAGGACTACTCTATGTTGACTGGGATGGTAGGGGATATCTGAGGTAAACACAGTTTCAGTGTTTTGGATTCAATGAATTAGAGCTAATTTTTTTTTTAATGCCTAAACTTGTTAACAGTTTTTAGACTCTACACTCTGAATTAGAAGGAAGCAGAATCCACTGGGCTGTTAAAGAAGGTAACTGTCTTCCTAATTTGTCCCCAAATCAAAATTATGTGGGTTTGTTGGGAAGAGGAAATAAAATCCAATAAACAAGCAATATATTTAGAGGGAATAACAGCATAGGTAAAGAAAGTAAATCTCCTGTCAAGAACATTTTATTTGTTTGTAAACTTCAAGCTTAAGATGATCTAGTTCATACATTCTCTTTTTACATTTGACCTAAATAAAGAATTATTGAGGTATTATTTTTCTGAGTTAAGACTTTTTTTTTGGGGGGGGGGGATGGAGTTTCGCTCTTGTCACCCAGGCTGGAGTGCAATGGCTCGATCTCGGCTCACCACAATCTCTGCCTCCCAGCTTCAAGTGATTCTCCTGCCTCAGTCTCCCAAGTAGCTGGGATTACAGGCACACACCACCATGCCCAGCTAATTGTTTTGTATTTTTAGTAGAGATGGGGTTTCTCCATGTTGATCAGGCTGGTCTCAAACTCCTGATCTCAGGTGATCCACCCACCTCTGCTTCCCAAAGTGCTAAGATTACAGGTGTGAACTGCACTTGGCCATTAGGACATATTTTTGATATGTCCTTAAACTCTAAGACCATGATGGACAGAGGCTAGATTTTTTTTTTACATGCTTGACAAAGTTTAGCAATTTATGCTTATTCCCTGATTACTAAAAGACAATGATGAATCAAAAATTTCCTTCTGCCAGGCGTGGTGGCTCATGCCTGTAATCCAAGCACAAGGCGGGCAGATCACCTGAGGTCAGGAGTTCAAGACCAGCCTGACCAACATGGTGAAACCTTGTCTTTTTTTAATTAAAAAAAAAAAATTTCGTTCTTCCTTACTAAAAATCTAAAACTTGGCCGGGCGCAGTGGCTCATGCCTGTAATCCCAGCACTTTGGGAGGCCGAGGCGGATGGATCACAAGGTCAGGAGTTTGATACCAGCCTGGCCAATATGGTGAAACCCCATCTCTACTAAAAATACAAAAATTAGCTGGCTGTGGTGGTGGGTGCCTGTAGTCCCAGCTATTCGGGAGGCTGAGGCAGGAGAATCGCTTGAACCCAGGAGGCAGAAGTTGCAGTGAGCCCATATCACGCCACTGAACTCCAGCCTAGGTGACAGAGCAAGACTCTGTCTCAAAAAAAAAAAAAATCTAAAATTTATCCTATAGACTGCTGCCAAATGAGCCTTCATAAAGTTTTCATAATCTAGAATAGAAATATGAAACTTTGGCCGGACACCATGGCTCATGCCTGTGATCCCAGCACTTATGAAAGCAGAGATCACCTGAGGTCAGGAGTTTGAAAACAGCCTGACCAACATGGCAAAACCCCATCTCTACTAAAAATACAAAAATTAGCTGGGCATGGTGGTGGGGGCCTCTAATTCCAACTACTTGGGAGGCTGAGGCACAAGAATTGCTTGAACCCAGGAGGCAGACATTGCAGTGAGCTGAGATTGCCCCATTGCACTCCAGCCTGGGCAACAGAGCGAGACTCCATCTCAAAAAAAAGAAAAAGAAATATGATGAATTAAGACTTAGAGGACTGTTGGAGGAAAAAAAAAAGAAAAAGAAATATGAAACCTTAAGAGCATAGATTTTCACAAACTGCCTAGCTTCAAACTCTACCTATGTAAGTAAGCACACTTACTCAAATATAGGTACTATTATGTGACCTTACCCAAATTAAATAATCTGAGTCTCAGTTTTCTTAACTGTAAAATGGTGATAACCATCTCTCTCTCACACAAGACTGTTGTAAGAATTAAAATACACATAAAGTTCTTTGGGCCAGGCGCCATAGCTCACCCCTGTAATCCCAGCATTTTGGGAGGCTGAGGTGAGCATATCACGTGAGCTCAGGAGTTCCAGACCAGCGTAGCCAACAGGGCAAAATCCCGTCTCTACTAAAAATACAAAATTAGCCAGGCGTCATGGCACGTACCTGTAGTCCCAACTACTCAAGTGGCTGAGGTGGGAAAATCACTTGAACCCAGGAGGCAGAGGCTGCAGAGAGCTGAGCTCATGTCACTGCACTACAGCCTGGGCAACAGAGCGAGACTCCAGCTCAAAACAAAAAAAAAGTTATTAATGTATGGCATATAGTATAAACTCACTAAGAATGCATTGTCATAATTTTCATTATTCAGTAACTACCCTGCCCCAATAGCAACCAATGCTGAAGTGTCTACCATGCGAGAGGCAGTTTGAGCTCACTACCTCAAACTTCTAAAACATTACCACAGAAATAGTACCACTACCATTCTACAGATGAGGAAATCAAGGACCAGCAAAGTGAAGAAATTTGCCTGATCTCATCTGGCTAGGCTAACCCCTCACCAATCTGACTTCACAGCCCATGCTCTTTCTATTACCTTACACTGTGGTCAAGATAGAGGTCAAACTCCTCATCTGCTTTCAAGGCACCACACTTACTCATTCAGTATGTTAAAGTAACACATTATTAACCATAATTTGACCTTTCTTTATTTATCTAAACTGGAATTCAACTCCTCAGCATGACTGTGCTCTTTTTAATCGTGCTGATGTAGTCATTATCCACTCCTTTTTATAAGGTCTCTCGTCTCATACACCCTCATATTTGGTCTATAGTGGCCAAAAAGTACTTCCTCAGATGGGTTGGAAAACCAAAAAGGCATTACAGCACTTTTTTGATGGGCTTTAAACAAACTACAGCTGGAAATAAATACATTATAACAAAGATATGAACAGCCTTTAAGCCCCATTACCCAAGAATCTTCTGCTTTTATTTTACCACATCTTCTACCTCTATTCTCCAATAATTTTTAGTTATCCATAGCAAGTTCAAAGCCAAAGATAATTTCCAAAGGAAAACAACCAGCATAAAAATGTTTGTTGATTCATTGGTTCCTATATCAGAGCCACATAATAGAATGTTATATGATTTTCTACAGACAGATTGGTCTTGTTTCCTTCACATCACTGCTCACAACTTGAAAATATTTTGTCTTCCTTTTTCTTTTGTTTTGTGTATGTATTTCTTTCTTTCTTTTTTTTTGATACAGAGTTTCACTCTTGTTACCTAGGCTGGACTGCAATGGCGTGATCTCGGCTCACCGCAACCTCCAACCTCCACCTCCTGGGTTCAGGCAATTCTCCTGCCTTAGCCTCCTGAGTAGCTGGGATTACAGGCACGCGCCACTGTGCCCAGCTAATTTTTTGTAATTTCAGTAGAGACTGGGTTTCACCATGTTGACCAGGATGGTCTCGATCTCTTGACCTCGTGATCCACCCACCTCGGCCTCCCAAAGTGCTGGGATTACAGGTGTGAGCCACCGTGCCTGGCTTTTTTGTTTTTTGTTTTTGAGACAGAGTCTTTGCTCTGTCTCCAAGGCTGGAGTGAAGTGGCATGATCTCAGCTCACTGCAGCCTTCGCCCCGTCTCCACCCCCCTGCTCTGCAGGTTCAAGCAATTCTCCTGCCTCAGCCTCCCAAGTAGCTGGGATTACAGGCATGCGCCACCACACCCAGCTATTTTTTGTATTTTTAGTAGAGATGGAGTTTCCACAGGTTGGCCCAGCTGGTCTCAAACTCCTGACCTCATGTGATCTGCTCGTCTCGGCCTCCCAAAGTGCTGGGATTACAGGCCTGAGCCACTGCCCCCAGTTGTGTATATGTATTTCTATCTCCCCCATCAGAAGATAAGCTCCAAGGGCTGGGAGCGGTAGCTCCCACCTGTAATTCCAGCACTGTGGAAGGCCAAGGCGGGCAAATCACAAGGTCAGGAGTTAGAAACCAGC